TGGAGAGCTCAGCTGGGAATGCCCAGGACCTCACTGACCAGAGGCTGAGGTGCCGGGGCCATCCCAGCCCCCATCTAGCTGCCCTGGAAGCCTGTGCTCCCCCAGACCACAAGGGCCAGCCCCACTCCTGTTCACGAGGCTGACTTTCTGGAAGGCGCTGATTCCCTGTCTTGCGGGGCTGAGCTTTCTTCGGACCTCGTGGACGCCTGCTGCCGGTTAAGATAACGTTTTGAAGAATGTGTGGAAACCATATGGCTGACCACGGTCCTGCAGAACCACCACTTGTTACGTCCAATGAGGCCTCTAGCAGAGCCCTTCGCCTGGCTCCTGGGTTTCGGACACCGGTGTGGAGAAAGCGTGGCCCGGGCAAACCGCACAGTGAGCTTCCTTGGGTCCTGGGTGTCGGCAACTGTTCGTTTTCTTCCTGAGCCGAGTTACCTGATCAATTGCCAAGACAGTCGGTCTGTACGTTTCACAGGACCAGGAGGCTCCCTGGGGGCCTTGGAGGCCTGAGGGGCCCAGCGGGTGGGTCACCGTGGCCGCCTTCGGCTGTGGTACATGGAGGGGAAGCAGTCAAAGCCGCGTGGGTGCCCAGGCCCCGGGGGCAGCCCCCAGGCCAGCTCCGGCTGTGGTCGGATTGAAGGACTCGAGGTCCAGTCGCCAGGGGCCACTGCGGGGGCCCGAGGGGAGCCTGCAGGGCGGGAGGCTCGGCCGGGCCCCTGAGCCACCAGAGCAGCCAGCAACAGGACCGAAAAGTCACCTTGTGAAGGGACGCGTCCCACCTTCTCGGTCCCCTCACCTGCCCTCCCCAAGCCGGGATGTCCAGCTAAGCTGTGGGGATGGGACCGTGCCCACCACTCAGGCGAGGCTGAATTACGTCCTCTTCTCAAATTCACATGTTCACATCCCAACCCCAGGACCTCAGGACACGGCTGCGTCTGGAGACGGGGCCTTCAAAGAGGTCATCAGGTGAAATGAAGCCACGTGGGTGGGCCCTGACCCAGTATGACTGTGTCCTTAGAAGAAGAGGAGAATGCGACCCAGACACACACGGAAGGGAGAGCACGTGAGGACACAGGCCGGGCGTCTACACAGCAAGGAGAGCAAAGAAACCAGCCCTGCCGACTTCTTGACCTTAAGCCCGGTCTGTAGCGTTTCGTTCTGCAGCCTGCGCTGACTGGCAGACCGCACAGCACGTGGGCAGCACGAGGGAAAGCGCTGTCCGGAAGCAAGAGGCCGGCCCCGCCTGGGCACCGAGCCGGGGGTGGAAACAGAACCGGACAGAGTGCGGGGCTCGCCTCAGCCCTAACGGGGCGGGAGCTTCAGTGTGGACGACGCTCCGGCCACCCAGCAGGGGCCCTGCACAGTGGGAGCAACAGGCCCCCAGAGAGGGCACAGCCATGCGCGCAAGGACAGGCGAGGGGCAGCCTGTGGAGGGACGGTGCCTCACGGAGCCAGGGAGGGGACGAAGCTGAGGACACGCAGTGAAGAGGTGGACCTTCACTCGGGACTGGCCGCCTCACACCCCTCCCCCCACCACAGATGCCCCAGAAACTTCCAGAGGCCCCACCTCCAGCCCAGGCTCCCCCCACCTGGCCTCAGGCCCCCCAGCCTGGCCTCAGGCCCCCCTCCCCGCTGAGGCCCCATCTCCACCCTGAGGCCCCATCTCCATCCTGAGTCCCCATTTCCACCCTGAGGCCCCACCTCTACCCTGAGGCCCCATCTCCACCCTGAGGCCCCACCTCCACCCTGAGTCCCCATCTCCACCCTGAGGCCCCACATCCACCCTGAGGCCCCGCTTCCCCCCGAGGCTGTTCTTTGGCTGAGCCCCTGGCAGATAAGGGGTACAACACCCCAAGAGCAGCCTCAGCCAATGCCTGGAGTGTATAAATACCCCCACTCCCTCTCTCCTCAGTGCCACAGCTGAGGCGGGTGTCCTGCCTGGCCTCCTAGGGTCCCCGGGGGATTGAGGGCCGGTGGCCTGTGGCAGCAGCCGCCAGACACGCCCCTTCGATGGCTCCCTCCCTTCTGCACCTCACTTCCCATTCGCTGCCCCTGCTTCAGCCACTGTCCAAATAAACTACTGCCCTTGAACCTCAGACTCAGCTCCTGTGTTTTAAGGAAATTAAACAGGTGCCAAGCAGCCCTGGGCGGGGGGAGGCAGGAACGGGAAGCCCGGGAAGGAGAGTGAAGCCACAGGGACCACCGGACAGAGAGATTTCAAAATCTCCCGAACAGCACGCCCTGAAGACCCGCCTCCAAACACCCACCCTGGTTGCAGACTGTCTTCCCTTTCCTCGTCCAGCTCTGGAGGGGAAGTAACGTTCTGGGAAGCGTGTCGGCTGCCCTGAGGGACGTCTGGAGACGGTTCCAAGGCTGGAGCCGAGGCTGAGCTCCGGGAGACCCACTCCCACCCGACGCGTGGGTAGAGGCCTCGGCTGTTTCCGGCTGTCACTCGGCTTTCGTTGACATGGGGGGGGCAGGGAAGCTGGTGGAGGGGAGACGGGTGGAATCCGAGGCCACAGCCGCCGTCCCCTGGCCTCGCCGCCCTGTGCTCTGCACCTGCTGCCCCCGCGGTGGTTTCTCGGCCACAGTGAAGGTCAGAGTCACGGCACAGTAGCAATCATTGCCAAGACTGCTATTTTCTGTTTTCTCTGATTCACCAATTCTAGCTCATCTGGCAAAGCCGTGCTCCCTCTGGTGTGTAAACCCTCCGCCTTTTCTGCGTGTCCCTTGGAAGCCCGTGTGCGCCTTCCCTCTCAGGGACCTTGCAATAATCGCAAAGTCTGGAAATCCCCGATTCCAAATGAAGTGAGGCGAATTCATCACGTGAATCACAGGAGACCTCTCGAATAAACCCCCCCGGCAGGTTTAGGAAGTCAGATGAGCTCAGGAAGACGGGGGCCCCCGGTGGACAAGTTGAAGACCCATCGTGTGGTCAGGACCACTGAAGGCCTGAGCACCCAATGGCCTGTCCCACCCACAGACAGGCCTCTCCACCTCCCAGCCTCACCTGGCCCACCTGGCCCAGCTCCCCTCTGGTTCCTATGCGAAAAGCATCTGGTCCATGTCAGGGACACGGCAGCCTCCCACCGGCCACCACCATGGGCTTCATTACATTTCCAAAACACAAGTTCAATTTGTTCCCCCTGAAAAACCCTGTGCTCCTCTGTTAGCCATGCAATGCAAGAGATGAAAAGTGGTATTTGAAACAAAGACTAGTTCCGTGAGCTTCCTTTCTCTGCGCTTACAGGCTACTTTCCCACAGTGCAGCCCTGCTTTGAAAAATAACTCTCCCTTCGTGTAATTCAAGGGTTTGCATTCAACTCCTGTGCTGGAGAGAGAGGCTCACCGTGCTCCTGCTTCAGGGGACGGGGCTGGGACCCCCAGGGCTGGGGCTTTTCCTCGGACACCCTGACAGTGGCAGGGAGGTGTGGAGCTGTGAAGCCTCCCATTTGCTCCCCTGCCCACGCCCCCCCCCCCCACTGCCTGTCCTTCCCTCTAGACTGTTCCGTGGTGCACAGCCTCCAGGAGGTGCCTCTTCCACCCACCTTACTCCAGAGCACACGTTCCCAGCGGCTCCCCTCTACCGCCCGCCCTGCCTTTCAGGTCTCCCGAAGACCTAATTCTGTAATTGACACTTCCTACCCCGTTTACACAAGGAAGATTTCTAGCTCCCGTATCAGCGACCTGACCTACGGAGCCCTTCTAAACACTAGGCAGCTGCTTCCTACCAAACTGGGCTTCGAGAAGGTCAGGGACGTTTACATGAGATCATGATTTGGCCATTTTTTTAAAAAAAGACATAAAAAGCTGCTCACAACTCCACGTATTTCCATGCACAGGGGCTTTTCCATGCTGTTGTGAATTACAAGGAGCAGAAAAAAGCTGATGGCGTCTGCCCAGCCAACCTCCTGGTTGTCACAGGTTTCTGCCCTTAGTGACTCGCGAGGAGAGCGATACCCTAGTAACTGCCGGGCTAACTGAGTCCCAGTTGTCACCAAACGGCCAGGCAGATGGCGTGGCCGAGGATCGAGCAGCCCTGGGACCCGTCGCCCAGCTGCAACCAACACCAGCATCTTGTCCTCTGATGCCTCTTAGTCAACACACAGCAAGAAGGAGGACGTGCCACCCGGGCCACATTGCAGAAGATCTGGCTCCCCCAGCCCCCTGTACCCCGTTAACAAGCACCCCTGGACCGGCCATTAGCATGGTGGGGCTGGACGGCGGGAAGATGAGGTATTCTACTGCATCCCAGTTATTTGCTGCCTCGATTTGGTTCTACAAGAAAAGTGTTACTTCTTTCACCATTTCAGTGACGAGCACCTCCACCCTCCCATCCAGATGTTCCCCAAACTTCATCTGTTGACAAATGGAATACTGTTGGTTTTCTCTTTCTACGTGGACTTCTCCCATCCTAGAAACCTGTGGTCTCCCTGAGCTTCCCAACCGATGACGGACAGCGGTTGGAGGCCGAATTCACTGGATTCAGCTCCCAGCTATGTCGCCTCCTTGCTGTGTGACCATAGGCAAGTGGCTTAACCTCTCTGAACCTCGGCATCCTCAACAGCAAAGGGAGGATCGTGAACATGAGAACCTCCCTCACTTGGTTGGTAATGGATTTAATCACTTAAACAAACAAGTGCCGGACGTTAGTAAGGGCCCTGTAAGTATCAGTTCTTCTACTGCTGTTGTCGTTATCCACAACTGCTATCCAGACGTCATAGAGAAATTTAGGTTCCAAATCCATAATCTATTGAATAGAATCCAGCAACTTCCACATCATCCCACACCTGCCAGGGTTTCACTGGATAGTTGAGAAGTGGCAATGAGTGCCTGTGCTGAAAGCAAGGGCTACCTGGAGACAGGCTTGATGTTTAAGATTCGTGGGTACACGATGGGTAGTTATTGCATCAAACAAGGGACGCTGCCCCCACTCTGTCCTCGGTGCTCCCTCCCAGGCTGCCAGGGCTCCTGGCCAGGGTGAGCACAGTACTCACAGAGGTGGTGCGCATATCGCAGGTGGAAGACGTCGCAGCCGTGCACGTGATGGTACAGGGTCTTCTCGATCAGGTCCTGTGGCTCGTACCCAGTCAGCTCGGTCACCCTGGGGGAGGGCAGTGGCTCCGTGAATTACAATGCCCTGCAGATTGCATTTCATTTAAACTAACATTGGTTTTTCCAACTAATCAAGTGCTAAAAGGCTTGGGGGGTGGGTGGAGAGAGTGTTGATTTTGGAAACTGAGAATGATCTTTTTTTTACAAGAAAGTCTATGAGCTCCAGCCCAGTGCACGACACAGCACTCGTCATGAGCAGGAATGTCCTTCTGAAGCCACTGGCTGGAAGGTTTGGGATGGCTCAAAACGGTCAATACCTTTTCAAGGTGAAGCCTATCAGAAGATGCTTAAGAGTGGACTTGATACTGATACTGGGAGGAGCTACCAAGGTGAGACAGAGCCCACTCGCTGGGGGTTTTTTGGGGCAAAGTCCGGTGTGAAAGTTTTAAAAATTATTCTGGTAAAATATGCATGACATAAAATTTACCATTTTAACCATTTTAAAGTGTAAAATTCACTTGTATGACCATCACCACTTCCATTTCCAGAACATTTTCATCACCCCGAACAGAAACTCTGCACCCATTAAACAATAACCCCCCCCACTTCCCCCTCCCCAAGTCCCTGGCAACCTACCTCTTCTACATTCTATCTCTAGTAATTTGTGTCCTCTAGATATTTCCTCTGAGTGGAGGGATGCAATATTTGACCTTTTGTGCCTGGCGTCTTTCCCTTAACATGTTCTCAAGGTTCATCCATGTTGTAGCATCTACCAGAATGTCGTTCCTTTTTTATGGCTGCATAATATCCTGTTTTATGTAGATGCCGCATTTTTTTTCATCCTTTCACCTGATGATGAAAACTTGGGTTGGTTCCACATCCTGCCTGTTGTGTGTGCGAACCTGTAACCCTCCATTCCACACTGGACACTGTTACCTGGCACAGTTGGTCTCAGGACGATGCTCTGATGATTGGGTGATTCCTGCAGATGCGATTTAGGGAGTAACTGGAGACATTTAAGACTCCTATCGGTGGAGGACTGTTTTCCCCCAGAAAATAGTATAATGATACCCCAAACTCTTGTGACTGAAGGTAAGGCTTATTGAGCTCGCTGTGGGAATGGAAGCATTCTCCCTGTGCTTATTCACCATTGCCCAGTTTTTATTCTTATCAAGCCCCAGGTGTATTCATTTCCCACTTCAGTTCTTTGAAGAAGAGTGGCTCTCAGCATCCAAGACGGCATCATCGCTAGCATTTGGATCACTCCACCCTTAGGTGAAAATTGCATGTGGCCGTGGTATCGATTCCCAGGCCATGGATAACGGTGCTGGGAGCCACGCCCTCAGAGGAGGTGGCCCTAACATCTTGGTGACAGATATTCAAGAACAGATGAAAGTGGAGACAAGAGGGGATTCCAAAGGAGGTGAGGCCATGGTGAGAAGTCAGTGGGGACTGAGGGTGACAGGGCCTAGGGGCCCTGCTGGCCCAGATCTGAAATGTTAGCTGTAAATTAAAGGGGGAAACTTGACCTCACTTTCATTCCCTAACCCGCTACCCTTTCTGTGGAGCTCTGCACAGGCTTTGGGTCGTAAATCTCCGTGAGCCTCATATTTCCACGGAATCACTCACTATTTGGTGTACACATTTCCATGGTGTTCCTCCAGGGCAGGAAGGAGCTGGGGCTGGAGGTGGGTAGAAAGGGAATTTGCACAGGCCAGAGCCTCTCAGGGCTCGGGGGACCTGTCCAAGGGCCACCTAGAACTTCAGGCCCCACTGGAGTCTAACTCCGTGTGGCAGGAAAATTGAGACGTCTGGCTTCCCCCCAAAAGAAAACCAGGCATCTCTACGGTGTGGGGATGAAAGAGGCTTCCCAGACCCTTTGGACGTAAAGTTTCAGAACAACGGCCCCGAATGTGTAAATGAATCAGAAACACATGTATTAAGTTTCTCATCAAAGTACACACTGGCTTTAAAAATTAAAGGAGAAGGGAAGGGTTTGGCAGGCTGCCCTCTTGTTTTTTTCCAACCCTCTAGTGTCTGAAGACCTGTCAGAGGGATTTGCCAAACCCCAAACATCGCCGGGTTCACCCATCCTTAGCAAAAGCACCAGCTACAGTTTCAAAGTGAAATACCACAAAACCCCCATGAACCAGATTTCAGGTTACGCCGAGTTCAGTTTTGTCTGGGATTATGCTGGCGGGGGGGCACCAGCTGGGCCCTCCTGCCAGGACTCCCACCCTGGCCCCTGTGACTTTGGGGCTGCTGGGCTTCAGGCCAACCCCTTGCCGTGGCTTCTGGGGTTTGGATGTGGGAGTTGACATCACCCTGCCAGGCCTTTCTACTGACCCTCTGGCACTGGGCCAGTTCTGTCCCCCAGCCCAGTGGCCTTTCAAAGACCATCGAGCTGCAACCGACTGCAGACCAGAGTGTGAAGAATTCTTCAGGGCCTCCTAGACGACGGGGGTTCAGAAAAGACCTCAAGGCTTTGCTAAAAGCTTCCTGGTACTTAGTAGGAAGAACTTCACGGGCTTCTGTAGAGACAGGAAGTCCTCCTCGAGATGGCCACCTTGCTTTACTACTCACCTCGGGGGTATGGCCCTTACACCCAGAAGCAGAGGCTCCCTTCAGGAGCAAGCTGGCCTCTGAGCTAAACTCACATAACCTCCTCCGTAAAGCTCCCTGATTTGCCCCTCACGTTTCAAAGCTGAGTGGATTAAACAACTCGAGAAGACCTGAAATCTCTCCTCTGGGGAGATGCCCCTCTTTCCTCTTCTAGAGGATTCACCAAGCCTCAGAGGCTTTTCCCAGGATGGTCAAAGAAAAACTGGGAGATAAAACAAGGGAGAAACCCGTCGTATCCTCCCAAATTTCTAAAATAATGAACATGGACAGTCAGATTTTCTTGCAGTCCACTTTTTTTTTTTTTTTTTTTTTGCGGTACGCGGGCCTCTCACTGTTGTGGCCTCTCCCGTTGCGGAGCACAGGCTCCGGACGCACAGGCTCAGCGGCCATGGCTCACGGGCAGCCACTCCGCCACATGTCGGATCTTCCCAGACCGGGGCACGAACCCGTGTTCCCTGCATCGGCAGGCGGACTCTCAACCACTGCGCCACCAGGGAAGAAGCCCCTGCAGTCCACTTTTCGAAGTGGCTCCTAAGTCTGGAGAGAGCTTCTCTGTCCCTGCGTGCTGCAAGGCCTACCCCACGCCCGGCTCTGGAGCAGCTCCCAGCCTCCCAGCTCCTCCCTGCAGGTGCCTCTGTCTTTACTGCAAGAAAACAGCCCTTGCCAGCGTCTGGCCCTCCCAAGAGGTGCTGGCATCTTTCCCCCAAGGGGTTATATTTCCTCTTTGCTTGGAGTTTCTGGGAGCATGATGATGACCCCGTAAGGCCAACCCTTGTCATTTCTCTACCTCTGAATGGTTCTGAGATGCATTCACGATGAGCTAGACTAGTGTCTTCACCTCTTATCCGTAACCAGGTAAGTTTATTTTTATTCCATAAATGGGTAAGAGGATCAATTTTACATCATGTATATTTTACCACAATTTTTAAAAAGTGAAAAAAAATCAATACATCCTAGCTTCAGGACATACAGGAAAATGTGTGTGTGTGTGTGTGTGTGTGTGTGTAAAACTTTTCTCCCAGAAAGCTCAGCTACACACACCAAAAGTCAGGAGTTGGGTCTCTGAACACTCATTTCCGTCTGTACAGTTGAGGAATCTTGAAGGCCAAGAGGCACAACGACTCACCTTCCAGGTATATTAGGCTTTTCACCTTTACAAATGCTTCCCATCTACTATGTAGCTTCATCTTTCCTAACATCCTTGTGAGTAGCCAAATGGGCAAAGGAAATGGAAGCCCAGGGAGGCCCCGCAGGCCTGCAGCCTGCCTCAGGGGACACACAGACGCCTCCCCAGGCCCAGTGAAACAACAGGTCAGTGCCTCTGCCTCATCCACCCTCCCTCCTCTCTCTGAGAGGAGATTCTCAAATTGCTGGGCCTCGCCAAGTGGGAGACAGTTCTGGGGACGCTGCAGCCTCGCCCTCCCCGTCAGCCGGAGGTGCCCTCCCAGCCCAGCTGCCGACAGGCACCTGTGGGTCCAGCCTTCACCCCAGAGAAGGCCCCCTCTCTGCTCGCTGCCTCAGCCCTGCAGGGACCGCAGAGCTCGGCTTCCCGCCAGCTGGAGCTGGAAGCCCTCGCAGTAACACACACCGCTCAGAGTGGAGACTTTCTGTTTGTTTTAAAGTCCTACCAACTTGACGGAGACACAAGGCAGAATCCTGACCTCATGGGTCTTCAAAAGGCTAACTTTTGCCCACAACATATATTTCCAGTTCAAACTCCAGTGAGACGATGAAAATATAAACAAATAAAACAAGTACCTATAAGCTGGAGAGGCCAGCCACTCCTGGACGATTAAGGTCGATACTAATTCTTTCACTAAATCTCTTTCTAATTCATATTCTTAGTATAGCTTATTGCTTGCTACATGTCGGTTTAATAGTGTAGCTTTCAGGGGCCAGTTTCCACCATCAGAATCTTCCGGAACTCCGCAGCAGCAGGTGCCAAGCTCACCTGGAATCCAGGAATATCAGCTTCAGGTCGAGGCTGGCCCTGAACATGAACATGTTGCTGTGCAGCTTGATCTCAGTGATGGCGCTGGGCGGCAGTGACTGGCCCACGGCCACCAGCCCCACGATCTGGTAGCATGAGTCGTACAGGGACATGTCCAGCATATACTGCCTGATCTTCAGGTAGCCGCTGCAGTGTATGACCTGGGAAAGCACAGGCAGGGTCAGCTGGCGGTGCCCCAGAGGTCAGGCTGGTACCCACCGCTCCTGGCTCTGGGCCTGCTTCTTTTCTGGAACAGGTTGGAATATTCCCCCAGCCCAGCCTCTACTGAGCCGTGCAGCGAACATGCTGACAGACATCTGATTCACTGCTCGGAAGAAATGAACTATGCTTCTTTCTTAGGAAACAATATCGTCATAAAATATAAGAGTTATCTTATGCAATTGACTATGCCCAATAACTCCACAAGTGAAGACTCTCTACTATATAATGGATTTATGCATAATTAACTCATGGCCATTGCAATTAGATGGCACAACAATGGCATTTTGGGGAGCTGAGCATTTGTTCCATAATGTTCACTTCAGTAACTATAAAGCTCATCTCCCAATGAGATTGAATTTCGCAATTGCTAACTTGACATTTAAATAGTTTGACAAGCTGTATCACTCCAGTAAATGAAGAGTTCTTTCAGTACAATCAAAAAAGTCCTCATTTTTTTTTTTCCAGCTGTGAGGCATGCGGGATCTTAGTTCCCCGACCAGGGATCGAACCCGTGCCCCCTGCAGTGGAAGTGTGGAGTCCTAACCACTGGACTGCCAGGGAATTCCCTTAAAAAAAAGTCCTCATTTTGAACGTCTGCTTATTTTATTTTATTTACTTTATTTATAATTCAAGATTTTATCCACTTGTAATAAACAAAAATCCAGCGTGGCTATATAGAAACACTTCTAATTGTTATAGCCAAGAACCATATAGGAGAAAATGTATAGTGTTCCAAATATCAAACGGAAACATTTGTACAGCCCTAAGCTTCAATATTGAAGCATTTACACCAGTTACAGTCAGTAAAATTTTTTTTTTTTTTTTTTTTCGGGTACGCGGGCCTCTCACTGTTGTGGCCTCTCCCGTTGCGGAGCACAGGCTCCGGACGCGCAGGCTCAGCGGCCATGGCTCGTGGGCCCAGCCGCTCTGCGGCATGTGGGATCTTCCCGGACCGGGGCACGAACCTGTGTCCCCTGCATAGGCAGGCGGACTCCCAACCACTGCGCCACCAGGGAAGCCCAGTAAAATCTTTGAAAGGATCACGATCATCATAACAGCAGTGATGAACAGCTAACATCTTAAATCCTCTTTTCAAAAACTTTCCTCAGGATTCCTGAATACACTCACAGTCTTTAGGGCTGGAACAAATCTTAGGATCTTTGGAGTCTATTCTCCCATTTTACTGATGAGGAAACTGAGGACAAGGTAGGTGATGGGTTTTACTTAAGATCAGACAGTTGGATGGTTAGTAAGTGTCAGAAACATCTCAGGACCCAAGTATCCAGAAGAGTATCTACAGGGTGCAGGGTGGTGCTGGAGGCTTCCACCTCTGAGGTTTAGGGTCTGGGACAGCAAATAAGAAAAGTATCTCCCAATCTATGAAACAGAGTGAGGTAATGGTCAAAGGGAAGAGCTGGCATTGAGGCTCAAAGGAGCAGGGCTGAGGAGAGGCTGAGGGAAGGCGGACCCTGGGATGGGTAGGAGGGGGGAGGGGCATTCCAGAAAGACAGGACAAAGAGCAAAGGCACAGGACCCTCCCCTCTCTCTTCACCCCACCCCTCCCTCCTTTTATACAAATTCTCCCGCAAAAAGGCTCCCGTCCGCCTCTAGCCCCAGAGTGGTGGGCTGATGACCCTCTCTCCTCTGAGGCAGGAGGAAGTCGAGGCGCGGCTGCTCCAGCGGTCCTGCCCTGCGTGCAGTGTAGAACCTGAAGGTGCCAAGGTCAAATTCTACCCTTAGCCCCATTGATTCCTGGCCTCAGACAATGAAATCCAGCCTGCCTGGAATATCCCTGTAAGATTCCAGCTCTCACACTTGCCATGAGTAGCGTCCCTAGAAAGTTCTACATTAGGCAGCGGTGCCTTCCTGTCTGCAGACGTTCCTGAACGTGAAGCAAAGCACAAACCACAGCGAAGACCCACCGACCCACCACTGCCCCCTTCCCGCCCGCAAGCCCTTGGCTCCCGGTACCTTGTATCCGCTGCAGGTCAGGCCGGCGTTTCTTTTCGCCAAGACACACTTCATTCGAAGAAAGAACGACCTCTCGATCTCATACTCTGAAAGCAGGCGTGAGGTTAGATTGGCAAACTGTCCCACGATGCTTCCCCTGACTTTATCCCAACACTCCCAATAAACCCTCTGGACCAGATCACGCAGCCAGAGGCCTTGGCCCAGTCCACCCAGAACCCCACCCGGAGAGGCGGTGGCCAGGACCCAGCGCAGCTTCCACGTGCTCCAGAAAGGGGGAGCCCGAAATATGGCTACAGCAAGACCTTGCTAAACGCCAACCTGGGGCCAAGGTGAGGATCCATGCGCAGCAACCCAGCCCTGCTCAACCTGCCGTTGTCCCCTGATGGTGGCCACAGAGAGGCCTGGTGCCAGGAACATCGCCTTGGCCAGCCCTGGGCGGGTGCCGAGCCTGCCAGGAAGCCCAGAAATATCTGATGTCCCCCCTCTGACTGACTGAGTCAGAAGTGCAGGCCTTTCCCTGGCAGAGGGAGCCAGCCCCAGGGCCCCTCGTGCCAGTGCGCCCACTGCCATGGGCACCGAGACTTCCCTGCATCATGGGATGCGGCAAAGGACCCAGCAGACCCACTGGGCCAGATCAAAGCTTTCACCCTCAGTTACAGCCCTGGATGGATGCCCACCCCCCTGCCCCTTTCTCTGGCCCAAAGCATTTCCTTCATTCCCATCGCAGGCCTCACACACGAATCTCCGACCTCACTACTGCAAATGCAAACGTCCCCCAAGGAAACACCCTCTGCTTTAGTGAGCAGACACCAGCTCTCTGGGCACGGATGGCAGACTGTCCTCGCCCCAGGGTGAGAGCGAGGTCATTCCACTCTAAATAAACAGCTCTTTGGTGGTGGTTAATAAATTAATTTTTAAAGAAAGGTTACCACTAGGAATGGAAGCAAGGCCTTCCACCCCTCCCTGAGGGCACTGCCCAGTGGAGATAAGGGCATCACCTCAGAGGCCCCCCTCCCCTAGTTGGAGGGGCTGCCATATTTACCCACAATTTCTCTGCACAGCTGGGGTCTGGAGGCAGAAGGCTTCCCTCTAACATGGTGGCCTGTCTACCCCATTTCCAGAAGAGCACGCTCAGGTGTAAAAACCATCACCCAGTAATTAACTATCCAGTTCTGGGGAGGGCCCACTTCTCACACAATTACCATAAAACAAGGAGGCCAGTTCAGACACAGAAAACCAACTCTGCAGGTGAGGTGAAAACCAGGTGCTGTGAACCTCAGAGCCTGAACACTCGGTTGGCTGTGGAAATGAGTCAGTGGGAGACCCCACGTCTCCCAGACCTTCTCCTCCTGTACTGTTGGCCCACCTTAGACGTGGACCCCGCAGGAAACTGGACGGGTTTCCGGATACTCCCATTTGCTGTCATTTTCTAAATACTTTTTAAAAGGCTAAGACATGGAAGGGTGAAATGAAACCGGAGCTACTGGCAGAAAGCCCATTCCCGTGCAATTAACACACTGTAACTCTTTAAAACAATAACAACACATTCAATATCTTGTAAAAGCCTATAGTGGAAAAGAATCTGACAAAGAATATGTATAAAACCGAATCACTTTGCTGTACACCTGAAACTAATAGAACATTGTGAATCAACTATACTTCAATTAAACACACACACACACACACACACACACACACACACACACATACACACCCCACAATGTTCTGAGGAATTCTCTAAGATTCCAGCTGTCTTTGTCCGACTTTAAACAACCCCAAAGTGAAAGCATTAGATTCGGAAGCAATGTGCTCTCCTAGCCCTTATTTTGTTGGAAATTATTTCTTCAGAGTCGTATTCCTGTTCATTTATGCAGCCGGACCATTTCCAAGGACTTAAGCACCACAGGCCATAGCTACAACTAAGCCCCCATCTCATTTCAGAAAGCAACATACCAGTCTCCCTCCTTGGTAGACACATGGTGACTATTTCTGGGGCTAGAACATGGGGGCCACAGAGCTGGATCTGCAAGGTTTTTTTTTTTTTTTTTTTTTTTTTTGCAGCATGTGAGATCTTCCTGGACCGGGGCACGAACCCGTGTCCCCTGCATCGGCAGGCGGACTCTCAACCACAGCACCACCAAGGAAGCCCTGCAAGGGGTTTTAAAACTGAGTGTGCTATATGTGTTCTCTCCTCCTAGCCTCAGAATGACCCATCTCAGGAGGAAGCAATAAGAATGGAACCCTTTTTTTTTTTTTTCTGTGGCTGGCTACCCCATTCTCATCACTTTTGACACTTCTTCTTTGGCATTTTGTCTCACTAGGAGATTTTGGCCGAGTTGGGATACCGTAGTCCAAAGCAGACAAGAGACCCTTTGGTCAGCATACTGGTTGGTCTCATTGGGCCATCAGAGGGAGTTAGAAGGCCAGGGCCCCTGGAATAAGTTCTTCTGTGTCCTCCTAGCACACGTGGCAATTGTAAATTAAGGAGTCATTTGTGTGAAGACATGTTCCACACCCTTACTAAACAGCCATGCCACAACTCTTCTAACAGGGTGCTTAAAACAGTGGGGACCACGTTAATACGTGCTAAATGTTGAGACTGTCGAGAGAAAACTCCTGTCGCCAAATGGAGCCAGGTCAGCAAGACGGACCTGCCTCATCCGTCTAGACCAAGGCTTCTTAACTGACTCGTGCTGTGGCACAAAACCTGCAGATCCCCACCAGAATAACGTTTCTGAGCGCATAAAATATATGAGATTACAAAGGGGATCAGCTGTATTGAAAAACATCAAAATATTCCAACAAGTGGTGCTGTGGTTATAAATGTGCTACTTTATTAACACATTAAATAACAAGATCCTGTAGCAGACTCACAGCTCCTGAAATTTCAAAGTAGTGGTGAGCATAACCGATATGTTTAAATACCTGAAACAACCATAAGGTGAAATGAAAATATCTGTGAATCTTGTTGTAGGCAAAGCCACAGGCACTCGTGATAGTAAGATGGCTTACTGTCTACAATCTACAAGCAAAGGAAGTGCTAGATTTCACCTAGAGGGAATAAAGACGTAATTTTCCCCATGCAATTTCATGCCCCGCCCCGAGTTTTATCCTCGGACGCTCTGGTTAAGAAGCCCAGGTCTAGACCTGTGTCGCTGGCATTCTAAACCAAGAGCACCTCGGGGTGGAAGCCTTGGACCACTTTTCTCTGTCTCCTACCGTGCACCTCACACAGTCTCTGGCACGTGAAAGGGGATCAGTAGTTGCTTTAAAGAACAGAAGCATAAAAACAAATCCCCAGTTGGTGGGCCCTGCATGTTTGCTGGAGAGGCCTGGCTGGGCATCATGGGAAACTAAGCCCTAGGGTCACAGCAAAGAGCATCGTCCGGCGTTCATTCTGGTTTCTTTTCGTCTGGAGGAAATACCTTGGAGCAGGTGATGGTGAAGAGGCTGGTGGGCTGTCAGGACAGCAGTCATCTCATCGTGGTCGGAAGGATGGATGTACTCGTAAATGCTGTTGCCCGTGAGCTCCACCTGCCGCGGAAAGGAAGGGAGGGGTCAGGAATCTTCTCTAGGACTTCGGGGAGGTGGAGAGGTGAAGGTGTAAGGTGTATTATAGGTACGCACCTGCCAGGGAGAGACAGGACCTTGATCTCTGTGCACAGCCCACGCCTTACCCTCACACATAAACGTTTGCCTTTTCTCAGTCAGCACCCAGCTGTCTCCAAACAAGGCCAGGGGGGCGTCCTGAGCAGGAGTGAAGTATGGAAAAGGTGCACTGTGGACCGGGGGAACCCCCTGGCCTGGGGAGCATCCTTCACACGGGAGGCGGCTTAAATCAGACTGGAGCCAGCCCCATCCTTCACCTGCTGCCTGTGGGGACTGATGGCCAGGAGGCCAGTGGCCACGTCCACAGCAGGGTCCCTGCAACAGCTCGTGCACACGGAGGCTGAGCACAGGAGCCTCGGGGGCACCCTGTGCTCGAGGAAGACTCGCCCCCAGCAAGGTCCTTTCCTTCGGACCCTGCTGGGCCTTTCACGTGGGCAGAAACCTGTCTGTGGCCTTCCTGGTCCAGGGTGCCTGTGCTAAATCCACGGCTCCCGCCCTTAGGTGCGGCTGGGTGGCTGAGTGACCTCTGGGAGGCTGTGGGTCACTCCAGAGAGCCACATGACCTTGGTGCTGCTCCCCCGACATTCGGACACCACCTACTTCCAGACACACCCCACAGAGGACAGCACGCAGGCCTAGAGGCCATGTCCTTGTTGGACTGGACCCTGCTTTGCAGGCATGGGCGTTTCCAAGAAAGCACCATAGTTACGATCTTTCCACAGAGGTCCCCGGAGACTCAGGTCCTAACCTTGAGAATTTTTGATTGTTCTCCCAAACACAAGTGTCATGATAGGGGATGACAGAGATTCTCAGGACCTGGGCCCCTCACCCATCGGAAGATGGGCAGTGGCATAGAATGTTCCAGAAACTACCACCAACGGTGCAGCCTTCTGAGAAGTGGTGGTGGTGGGGGGGGGATCCTTTTTCAGAGATCAACAGTGCAGACAATGTCAGTGAGTCAGCGTCAGCGCACCTAGAGTACTGGAGGTGGGGGCAGTGATGGTACTCCTACTGCAGCCAGTGAGAGCCCCACAGCCCGGTTCAGGAAGATGCTGAGAGCGTGAGGAACTGCCTTGGCGTGGCACAGAGCCTTGGGTGGGTCTGGGGACTTTCTCAGCCCCGCCCCCAGGGGACAGGGCGAGATCAGAGAGCAAAGCCAGGCTTGTCCCAATCACCCCCTCGTTATTTTTAAGTGTGTCTTGTCGCCTGTTTTTTTGGCTGCTCTCAATCAGAGCAGAGACTCAATCCTCGGTAAAGGGGCAGCCCCGACGGTGCCGTCTCACACAGCAGGGCAGCCCCAGCCAGGCCGTTTAATGGAGAGGTTCTCCCAGGAGCCACCGTTCCAAATCAGCGTCAAGGCCATAATCTCTTTACTCGGGGCCAGGGGGCCGCAGAGAGGTGAAGTCAGTCCCACTCCGCCCAGCCACTTCTCCCAATGTGTTAAGATGTGTGAGTTGCCTTTCAATTCAGGACAAGTTATGTTTCTGGCCTAAGTAATCTTGTCCCTAAAACAGGTTTCACAGTTCTATTTTCTGCATTATTCATGGAATGTTTTTCCCAATATTATACAGAGCAACAGAGAGAATCCTCTTGCAGAAATGTTCCCTCTCTACCTCCCCAGCCTGCCACTTTGCTAATGACCCAAATGGATATTTGTCTATGTAAAAAGTTACTATAGGATTTCATTAAAAATAAAAGAATAAAAACGAAATATCCTTCTTTTAAGTCAGTCCTGTTAATCCTTAAAAAGTTTAAATAAATCAGCAACACTTATGTCAGGCATTTGGGACCGGAACAATCTCCTTTTTCCTGAGGGCAGCCCTAGAGATGCTGTCCGGTGGGGAGTGATAGAGGCTAATAAATAAGGGAGCTATTGTTTAAGTTGATTCACAATTTCAATGGTTTATTTTAAAAACGAAAAAATAAAAAATAGAATTTTTGTGCGTGTTGGCCTATCATTTCTCCCTTACCCAGGTTTTTAGGGAAAAATGACAATTCTGGTTTGCTCCAAGTTCTCTTTGAGAAAAAAGTAACTGATGTCTTTTTAGAGAAACACCTTCGTACATTCGCAAAAAGACTTGCATCTGGGCTCATAGGGATCCGATTTGCGTTTTAATCCCAAAGTAGCTTTATCTGTTTCCAAAGATCCCATTCTCATCACATGCCTTTGGAGAGTGAGAAGAGTGAAGGTCCATGAATTAAAGGCTTGATTTTCTGAATACTCAGGTTAGTGATAAACCTCTAAGGCTGTCTAGCAAGTAAAGTAGTCTTCAAGTAACGGAAATGTTTTTAAAGACAAATTTTGGAATGATAAAACAGCACTGACCTTGACTTAAAATTACGGTTGACATGGTGTTTCCTGTATTGGCATATCTATTCGTGCTTTTGAATGTTGAAAGAAATGTGACTACCTCACCAAAAAAAAAAAAAAAAAAAAATTATGGTTGTTGCTATAAAACTCCCCAGCTCCCATACAACAACCTTATTAAAAGAGACCTTCAATGTGATATTTTAGTATCTGTAAAACCCAGCTAACTACAAAATGAATTGCTTTCCTACTAAGAGCTTTTTTATGTTTTGCTGAATAGCTTTTCTTCCTGCCAAGAAAACTACATATAATAAATACAGCACTAAATGGATATATTCTGGGTCAGAAGGGGAAACTCACCCAGTACTCTGGAAACACACATTCCTCTGCTTTGGGTGTTTTGCTGACTATGGTAAATTAACCATTTTAAAAAAAGATGGTTTGGGTTTCAGGGTTCAAGTTATGTCAACAAACATTAAACGCCGGTTCTTTCTCTTTATTTCAAAAGTGAAAGGATTAGGTCTTATGGCCCCAAACAACACCGTGGTTATTTTTACAGTCGTGCTTCCGGCCACACTCTCAAATATTACATTTTCCTTTATGTATCTCGTGAACAGCTATTTCATACATATCTATATTACGTGAGAATGTATACGAGTTACCTAGATGTTATATACCATATGCAACTTCCGGAAGGAAATTTAAACCACAAGGATACTTTAAAATGTTTGAAGAAATACACAGCAGGTATGCAGGACTTTTTTCCTTCTTCAAATATAAGTTAATGACGTTAACCAAAAAACCATGAAACTAAATCATTTAATAAACTTGGTGGATAAAAAGTGCTTCCCCAACTCTACATCTTCCAAGTAGATGTGGGTCTATATGGATTATTTTGTATTACGCATACGCCAAATAGAATTTTCAAGCAGATGGCTGACTCTTTTCCCAACTTGCACTATGGGCTGAGGAGACAATTAGCATTTTGTGGTTCTCCCTGTCACTTTTTGGTACCAAAGTCTGACAGCCAGGATTGCTGCATTTACTAATTTAAAAGGAAAAATAAATTAATAAACTCTACCATATGAAGTAGACTTCTTATTCCAATACATGCTTTTAAAAAAGTTCAGTAAAAGGCCCTGAATTGGGATGGGCTTATAACACATAAAGAATCGTTTTTATATTCTCAAACAGTTCAGGAAGTTATTTAGATAGTGCAGATTAAAAAAACAAAAAACCACCAGTTTGCTATGAATTATCACACAATTATGGCAAACCTAGGAGCTTAGGTTCCCTAGGAGCTGCTAACATAGAGTTTAACCCCGAATTAATGTGAAAAATGTCGTTACTTAGAGATATCGTTATAGAGAATAATTGAAAGTTCTTGGAACACAGAAGGGCGTTACGTAAATATAAGCTATTACTGCCCTTATTCATCAGAAAACCTGTTTAAAAGGTTACTCTGACTAGTGGGTAAAATTTTATTAACACTTTTATCTCTGGTGATTAAAAAAAATCTTGAAGCCTATTTTAATTAAAGTTTTCATGTTTGATATGTTTGTCTGACTTATACTACTACTAGTAAAAATAATCTAAAAGGTGCAAAAAAATTCTTTTATACAGAAGTTGGGTATTTGACATTCTTTTCAATACCTTATTTTACTATTTAAGAAGACAGAAAAAAATACACATTGTGATTCTGCCTAGGTTTCCTTCTGCAGAGTTAACTGGGAAGAGGAGGCAGATTTGAGGGAAAAGTTTGTTGTTGCTTATTTAAACAGTTCACCATGAAACACTCCCCAGACATCAGCGTGAAGGTGTTTTTGTAGCTGGAGACTGATAGTGAGATAGTCCCGCCAGGAGATCAGAAAAAAATTAGCCGTCCTACACGGACAGGCAGTTTGACTTATTTTAAATTGACACTTCTCCTGGCAACATACAGACAAAAGGCATCTTTACAATTTTTTTGGAAAATACAAAATTATGATATACAAAGTTTTACGTCTGCATTAGGACGAAAAGGAAATATAATTTAAATTCCAATTCTGCTTAAATTTCCTTTCTTGGTCATTTGTAGAGACGTGGATGGATCTAGAGACTGTCACACAGAGTGAAATAAGTCAGAAAGAGAAAAACAAATATCGTGTATTAATGCATATATGTGGAACCTAGAAAAATGGTACAGATGAACCGGTTTGCAGGGCAGAAAGTGAGACACAGATGTAGAGAACAAACGTATGGACACCAAGGGGGGAAAGCTGTGGCGGGGTAGTGGGATGAATTGGGAGATTGGGATTGACATGTATACACTAATATGTATAAAATAGGTAACTAATAAGAACCTGCTGTATAAAAAAATAAATTAAATTCAAAAATCCAAAGAAAAAAAAATTTCCTTTCGTGGTGTTTATCATGAACAGGAGATATATTTGTTACCTATCCAATGTTTTGGTCATTCTTAATTATTGTGTTCAAAAACAATCATTTTTATTTCCCATGTGAAAAGAGAAAAAATGACAGAGAGCGAAAGAGAGATGTAGAATGCCAGACTGAGCAGCCTGACAGAATGAACTGGAAGGTCCTGATATGTGCACAGTGCCTTATGATGTGCCAGAACATTCCCCATAACTAATTATCCCTAATATGTGCCCACCAAAGGATGCTATTTGAAGCGACTTTTGTGCTATTTGAAGTACAGTTCTAATGAAACTTACAATGCCTGGTTTTGTGGAGCTCCCTATAGTTTATAAATCACATGGGCCCCTGGTATGTTTCTCACCATGCTCCTAAAAGAGTAGTAGAGCGGGCATTATTTTCTTATTTAAGTTATGGTACAGAGAGGTCAATTGCCTGCCCGTATCAGACAATGAAAACCATACAACAAAATGCATTTCCCTTTTTGCTTTGACTGCTAGGGAGCTCAGATCTAAATTTAATATTCAGTAAAGGTGACTCTATCAATTTTAAAGTATGTTTGACCAGTCATTTTCTTTTTTGACCAGCCATTTTTAAAGTATGTGAAATGTTTTGTCTTGTTTGTGACATTATTATAAGACTTATCAAGGTTTTATAAGTTACAATTTAAAAAGTTAAGGAATCTGATCAAGGGCACTCAGCCACAAATCAAGTCAGGAGTAGAAACCAGGCTGGGTCTAACTAAAGGGCCTTAAATAATTCTAAATATTCAGAGAATAATAATTTTGGAAAATATAAAAAGAGAAAATTTCATATTTCCAATAGTATTTCCCATTCTACAAGTACACTAATCCCATGAGTCACATAGGTGAAAGAGACAAGCCTTAATAAATCTCATCTGGGAGACCTGGTATCATAAAAGAAGAGAAGAGGAAGAGAACAGAAAACGCCAAACAACTTTAATATGTGATTCGCTTTAGAAGACTTTGCAGAAGAAAACACACAGGCGCAGAAACCCACTTGGACATGGATAAGGATATACATCCATTGAAAAGAAGGTTGTAAACAAATGAAAAGTTTAAAAAAACATCTTGGCAGAAAAAGAAGAGGAATACGCCAGATGCAGGTTTCCAAATTGGTAATTTTGTTTTTCAATGAGAAAGCCCAAGCCACTTTAATTGGCATGTTTTATTTTGGCTTAACTACAGGAGGAGGCTGGTGCAGCACAGATTATTCATGTGCCTCCTGGGAGCCCATTTCCTGGATCTAATTAATTCTAGTGTGTCTTCAGTTGTAATGAAGAAAAGCACTCTGATAATTCACAACGTAAAGAAACATTTAGCCCCTATATGTATAAAACAATGTGACTCTTAGAATCATGATCCATGCTTGTGAAATCAGAAATGTGCAACTATCAGTAGACTCTCCCACCATCCAGACTGGCCACAGCCCGGACAAGTAGCCAAGTCCTCTACCAAACCCTTGGCTTGACAGGCTGGAGAAAACAGTGCACCTCTCTCCTCTAGGGAATGAACCCCTTTTAGAAGACAGTTTCAGAAAAATAGGTAATATTTAAATGTTCTAAAGAAACCAGGACCTTGCTGTGCAAAACAGTAGTAAACTGAGTTTTATGAGTTTCTATCACAAGCATATAAAATGCTTTACTGAAACGACCACTGAACTGGAAAAACTCAGGAAAAATTACCCTGAATTCCATGTGAACACTCATAAATCTACCCCCCCCTTTTCTCTCTCCCCAAAGCACATTCTGCATAAAATCCATGTTCTACATCAGCTTGCCTCTCTTTCATAGCAACTCACAATACCACGTGCAGACCATCAAGCGTGGACTGAAAAATCTCCCTTTGTGAAGCTCTTGTTAGCGGCAGAGAACTTTACTGTATAAGCGGAGTCCAGGCTATTGCACAAGGCTGACTGTTGCAAAGACATTACGAGGCATTAGCCCCAAAGGAAAAAGAAAGTAGAAAAGTGAAACATAACACGGAGAAGAAAAGCCCCGCGGGCCGGCCGAAAAAGACGATTTTGGATTACGTTCAGGCACAAAAGTAGACATTAGGACAGACTCATTTTCAAGTTGGGTAAGGCTGTCAAGATCCGCCAACGCTTAACTTATTATTTTGGTTGTACATAAAATTAGTCAATACCCACCTGGGACAAGCCTAAATGTACAGAAGCTGTTTCCGAAATATACATGATTTTGCCGTCAGATGCTACCACAAAAACAAATCCATCCAAAGTCTGTAAAAGAAAAAGCATCAGGGTAAGAGACAATAGACATTAGAGTTAAATCTGATCATTGTACCGGCACTGGGATGGAGAAATGTATAAAGTATTCAATCAACGTATATTGTTAAATGCAGAAACGGCGCCCCGGGGCCAAGAGAAGGACTATAGGTTTAGTTCCCCAGCCAGGCTCTCAAATGCTTTTAAAGGACTTTAAGAACAGTCTTACATCTACATCACAAAAATCATGCAAAACATTTGAGAATTTCTATCATGCTCAGTTTAAACGTAGTAGCTTTATTGTTGGGGTTATTTTAGCACTTAGCACAAATCCGGAGTTCTATGGTACTTAGGGGAAATCTACCACTGTGTAGACCATTTCATATCATAATTGGCCCCTGTTTATACCACTAGAACATACGCTTCATTTGCCACAATTTTCTAATTATCCCTAAGTACCATTTGAATAATAAATTCCGAACACTACCACTCCCCAGAAAATAAAATACCTGGTTATTTTTAACAGACTATGTCTACAAAATTAATCATTTAGAATCTGCAAGAGATCAAACAACCTTTGCAAAATTCAAGGAGAAAAAGTATCAATTTCTGAAAAATTAAAGCTACCTAAATGATATTCTGATTTTGCCTAACTTGGCTAGCCCTCAAAAAAAAAAGTAAAATTATAAGAGGTAATTAAGTCAAATAAAGGGTAATGATCATATTTATGTGTGACAAGGATAAAAAGACTAAATTATTTTTGAAGAAAGGAAACTGCATTTTATTTACTCATTCATATTTTAGATCCAGAACCAAAGAAAAGCAATAAAGTTGGTGAAAGACCCATACAACCCACAACATTGCCCCCATAAAAAAATATTCCAAATTAATTTCTGGCCACAAATTCTATTTTTACAGCATGTAATTGAAACCAGATTACCTTTGGTTTTTCTAAATCCGCCCCCTCTTTGGAGGGGGGCCTAAAAAGAATGTAGAAGTGAAACCTGAAAGATATCCTTACATTCTGCGTCTCAAATACAGTTTTGCTGCAAAATCTTCTTTGCCAGCTAAGCTATCATTAGCTTTCCCTGTGCTGAGGTTGAAATCAACATCTTGATTATAAGCCCGACTTTCATGTTTCTAACTCAGCTACAAAATATTTCCCCAACTAAACTGCTTTTCAAAGATATAAACTATTCAGCAATTTCTGAAGTTATCCACGTTTTGGCACATTTTGCATTCTTGCTTAACTCTGAAATAATTAAAGAGATACATTTAATGAAATAGTATCAGACAGCCAGCCATATGAGTAAAAGAGAAAAAGTTATCAAAATTAAATTCTGAAGGTTGCCAGTGGTAGCTTAAAAAATAATACTCTTAATGGAAAATGTTGGTTATGCTTTCATAGCTGCAAACGACCTAATGCGCTTGCGAGTATATTAACTGCAAAGCCGCCCATCCACAGACACACTCTGGAATTAAATAAATGTACAGTGGAGAAAACTTGGGGGCATTGACTTTGCCGCCAGGTTTTCACTGGAACTCCCTGGCACTTAGTTGTCTCTGATATTAGTGTCACTTATAATATGTAGGAACATCAAACACTTAAAATACCGCGCACGGAGCTGGACCCGAGCTTGCGGGCAGAGCAAAGGGCGTGCGGGAAGGGCTCCAAGAGCACCATTTCCCGGCCGGCTCCCACACCACTAGCTTTATGTTGTAAAAGCCTCGGGCTTCAAATACATCCCGGGATCTTCTCTTCCCCAGCTCATGCATTTAAAAAAATAAATCACGCTAGGGCATTTGGGGCAAGAGAGTTTTGAAAAGATCTGCTTTTGCGAAGCGCGGAGCCGACTCGCTGACCCAAGACACAGAGTTCCATAGCCAACTTTTTTTTTCCCCCTTATAAAGAAAACACAAAATAGAAGGAGGAAATGCAAAATAGCTCTCGGTAGGCATTTTTCGGTGGCAGAGACAAATGACGGGAGGGGGAATGAATCGGGTCGTTGATGAGGCTCTGTAAAGGGCATTTGAAAGATTCCGAGACACGAGGCGTTTCTGTGCCCACCTAGCGCCAGCCGCGGACTTGGAAGTGGCCGGTCGTGCGCACGGTTACCCCACCCGAGCCCCAGACACCGTGAAGGAAATCCGAGGTCAGGGGCGGTTTAGTAACCGCGGACTGAATGGCTCCGGGCTGGGGCGCTAAGCGGCTGACACAAACCAAGCAAGGACTTCCTCCGTGAGCCAGGTGACCCCGGAGGTCGCACCATGCTGTAAGCTGGACCACTTGAGTTGAACAAGGCTCCACCACTGGCTGTGGAACCTCAGGCATGTTGCTTACCCTTTCTGTGCCTCAACTTCTTGCTCTGAAAAAAATGCAGTTAAAAATAGAACACACTCTAGGTGGCTGGTGAAGAGAGATGATATAGTAAGATTTAGAACAGCTGGTCGGTAGCAAACTCTCAGTAAATGTCAACTGCTAATACTCAATTATTGATGCTGTCTCTCCTCTATTGCAACCTCTCCAGACACACACAATTGTCAGACGCTTTAGGCTCTGCCTCCCTCTGGCTCAGAGCAGCCGGATCACTCCTTCTCTGGCTCCGGCGCCTGGCACAGCATCTGGCACAGAGCAAGAGCTCCATAAAAGTTTGCCAAAGGAAGTAAGGTTGGAGAGGACTGAACCACACCCAGGGGCGCGCTTCGGCCTAGGTCTCGTGGGCTAGAGAGTCCTGGGGCTGGGGCGGGGAAGAGGGTGCCAGGTGTGGGGTTGATGGGGGGCTGGTTGAGCGGAATCCACCCGCAGTCCCGGCCCTCCGAGGGGAGTTGGGGGGAATTGGCCCGAAGTCCGATCGCTGCCTCAGGAGACCTCTACAGCCTGGGGGCGGCTTGTGGATCCGCCCAGGGTTCCTTGAGGAGGGACCCCTGGAGACTGGGACGCTGGGGTCGGAAGGGAGCCCCTACCCGGGCGGGCCAGGGCCGTTGGTGGCGGCTTTTCACCCCGCGGCGGTCCTACTACCTGCAGCAGGTGCGATCCCAGCTCCTTGGCGACGCTGTCCAGGGGCCCCGCGCGGCTCGGCTGTCCCCATGCGTCTCCTAAACCTGGACGGGGGATAAAGCAAACCGGTAAACAGCAGCGCCCAGCTAGGGGCCTCGGCACCCAGCGCCCCGCCGGCCGTCGCCCCTTTGCCTTCGATTAAAAAGGAAAAGGCCAGAGGAGAAATTCCCACCGAGGCCTTGGGTCCAAGCCGGCCAGGCCCACAGCTCCCGTGGGTCGCCCACGTGCTCACGGCTCTGAAATTGCCGCTTTATTTGAAATGCCACAGAGTAATCTAATCTGCTGAAATCGGCCATCCTCGTGGCCAAACGGGGATATCGATTTGACCAGTAAATATTCCCCCCAGGGTCCTTCCTCTCTCCCTTCCCTGCGCCGCCGGCAGCCATGCACTTTCCCAAAGACAGAGAGGCCCGAACGTAAAGCCCTCGCCGTCCTGGAGGCAGCTTTTCCGGCATTAAAACGACAAAACAAACAAACAAACCAAAAAACCAAAACTTTCCCAACCCCCTGTAATCTCTCCCCTCCCCCGCCCCGGACTCTCCAGCCCTCACAGGGGCCCCAGGAGCGCCCACACTCTTCCAATCCAAGAGCTACAGCCTGGGAAGGGGTTACCTGGGGGCTTCCAGAAGGTGAACTCCTAAGTCGCCAGCGGCGGGTGGGGTACGGGCCGAAGGCGGGGAGAGCCGTGTGTATACTAGACGGTAACTGGGAGGTGTTTGTTGGCGCATAATTGGGGTCTCGCAGCCCCTCCGCTTAACTGTCCCTCCAAGGCCTCCGTTGCTCCCCCACCACCTCCCCGAAGGCCACAGGTGTTACAGAAGGCGCACCAGGGCCAAGGCAGCCCAGCTCGAGAGAACATCTCTCTCCTGCGCCCTCGGCTCAGCTGCCGTGTCCCCGGAGATCCCAGGCTTTGCCTGCACGCCCGGGAAGAAGCAGGAAAGCCGGGTGAGATTGCGGCGCTAAACGCCAGCTGGGAGAACCCCAGCCGCTCCCAGGCGTCCTGCTGGCGGCCTGGCCCGAAACCCTCCAGCGAGCGCCGCGGGCCGGGCGCGAGGCCGCAAAGACCGGGGACCGCTGCGCTAGCAACGCGCCCCCCCATCCCCCGCGAAGAACGCCCCCCAGGCTCTAGGCCCCTCGCGCGCCTCCCACCAGGGCTGCGACCCTGCGGGTAAGCTGTGGGTCGCGCGGGCGCGTCCGTCTCCCCTCCCGCCAGAATTGCGGGTCTGACCGGCCCCCTGCCCACTGCTCCGGGAGTGTGCGACCAGGGACCAGAGCGAATCCGAGGCCCACTCCCAAGACCGAAAAGCCCCTCCAAGCATGCGGCAGCGAGTGGGTTTCCGGAGAGGGTCGCGCAGGCACACTGGGTCTCCCCACTGTCCTTGGGGCGCCCGGGGCATCGCGACTTCTGGAACCCTCGATCCTAGCAGGCGGAAAATGCACCTCCAGGCCCAGGGCCCCCACAGAGACATTGGAGACCCTTCTTTCGGCAATTTCTATTATGCAACTAATAAAGGGATGGCCTTTAATTCTTCTCCTGGGCTCTAGAATTAGAGGTTTATCCTGGTCTCCCCATAAGGAAGTGGCTAATTTCCACATATTCTGATCTCCCAAATATGATCGCAGCCCCACACCCCCCAGATTCCAGAACGTGAACGGAGGTGTCTCGTTAACCCCAGGAAATCACTGCCCACCCCACTCTCACTCCCAAGGATGACCACAGTGACCCTATTATAGGGCCGCTGGCTCTCACGGCAGGTCCTTCCTCCCCAGCACCCAAGAGGCTGGCCTACTGGTGGTGGCGTTGACTCCATTTAACCAGAAATGGAAAGAACCAAAATTTAGAAGCCTCCGGGCCCTGAATGGAGAAAAAACATAATAAGGGCCCAGGAATTCTGGTGTCTGAAAACGGACAAAGGCGCCCCTATAACTGTCCTTTACTCTGCTCCTGGGCCCGTCCCCTGGTTTGGGCCAAGCCACCTTTGCCCGGCTTTCTGTTGACAGTGAGCACCGCCTCCAGCCTTGGCTCCTGACAGCACCTGGGGCTGAGTGACCTGGGGGAAATCTGCACCTTCTTTGGGAATGACCCCCAAACCAAACTCCCCTGCCTGGGTCTCCCAAAAGCCTTGTCGAAAGCTCTGGCCTCACATGCAAAAAGTGCATTGGCTGCACAGGACAATTTTTCCGTATGATTCAAAGCCTGTCTCTTACATCATTATAATTTTTCGTTTTATTTCTTGATGCCTCCGCTTTGCCAGCGGGGATTTGGACCTGACACAAGGGGGAGCAGATGGTGGGGAGGCTCTCCTTAAGCATCCCTACCCCCACGCCACCTCACAGGGTGATAGTGCTGCCAGCTCTTCCATTAGAAACCTCTATGGGCGAGACTTTTCCCCTGGGCCCATAAAAATCTACTTTGGGCTGAATGCAGAGACTAAATAAAGGAAGGTTTGTAACAAAAAAATCATCTTGTTACTATAAAGCCATACATACTCCTGAAAAAGTGAGGCACTAGGCCTGTGGCCCTTATCTGGACCTCACAAAGGGCTTTATTTGTTAGAAAAATGAGGGCAGGAGTGTAAGAAGAGACTGCGCTAAGCTCCTCCAAGGTTATCAGCCGTTGGTGGTCTGTTTGGCCTGATTCTGGGAAATCCCCACCCCACCCCATCCCAGTGACTGCAGGGGAGCAAGACAGGGGAGGTTCCAACCCTGGCCTGTAGTTTCCGGCCAGGGTTTGGGGTCCTGCTTGCCCTACATGTGTCAATAGGGGAATCAGATGGGCACTCCCTGCTACTGGGAATCCAGCTGGCCAGGTCACTGGGGAGGGGGTCAGCCACTAGGTCAGAGGGAAAGGGAGCCAAGTGCCCCCTTTTCCCCTCTGCCTCCAAGGGTTCGTGGGTGCTTGCACTTGTACCCACACTCGGCGAGCGGGCTGTTTGGTTTAAACCCCGTCAGGCCCTGCCCACCACAGAAGCTATCTAAATATGGTCCCTCCTCTCTGGGTGCTCAGTGAGTCAGTCAACAAACAGCTCTTGGGTGCCTGCTGTACCAGGTCCTCAGCCAGGTGCAGGTCACAGACCATAAACATCAAATCACACAAACGATCTGATTTCCCAGTAAAGGGGACAGTGTGCAGGGGTTCCCTCACTGTGAGATAGGGTCACCCTCTCAGGTGAGGGGGACACACGAGTTGAGACCTGAAGGAGGCAGTTAGGTTCGCTCCTTCCTCTGGACCCGTGAGCAGGACTTACTGTGGCCAGTGACCAATGGGTCCTGCCCCAGAGAAGGGTCTAGACTCGGCTAAGAACTTCCAGGATGGACAGCGGTTCTCACACTTCCCCGAGGGCAACCTTGGGTATCTAAAATGGTGGTAATTCAGTCCTCTTCTGGCTTTGGAATGGTTCGCGGTCACTGGGTCCCTGAAAAGCCCGGCCCTTGCACCCTTTTAGAAACCCACAGCTGCACAGCGGCCCAGAGGGTGTGTGAAGGGGGTGGTAGGTAGAGATGCCCCGACAGGGTTTGGCTCTGGGTGGGGGAAGGGAGGGGATTCCAGCCCGGCCTGCCTGGCCATGGGCCAGTGTTGTACATGCAGAGACCACGGACGACGCAAGCGCCCGGAGACCTGGTCGCCTGATGCTTAGACCTTGCAGGATGGGAGGGTGCCTCGGCCGAGTCCGCGCTCAGGAGCGCGCGTGGCCAGCGCCGCGCCGGCCAGGCTTCAGTCCGCGCCCCGGAGCGCCCCGAGCCGGTCTTGGGCGCTGGCCTCCGGGAGCTGAATCTGCGGCGCCCGCGCTCTACATCCTCGCTCCCACCTCCAGGGCCCCCGCAGTTCTGGAGTTCCCATCGCCACTGCCGAGCTTCCCGCTCCGCCTCTGTGAACTTTCCCTCCCGGACCCGGCGCACAGCCTGGCAGGCTTCCAAGTAGAGACGGGGAGAGGGTTGTAAAAACCCACTTTATTCTAAAAAATAAGTCTACTTAAAAAAAAAAAAACTACATTATTTCGGGCTGCGGCAGGGAAAGGCCTCGGATCTGTGACTCCATGTCGGGTTAGGGCGAGTTTCTCCTCACCAAACCCTCTAAGTCAAAGCGTTTCCATTCCCGACAACAATTTCTAGGACCGCCCTGACCCCCGCACCTCCCCTTGGCACTCAGGGGTGTGTGTGTGTGTGTGTGTGTGTGAGCGCGCGCGCGCACGCACACGCGCACTGAGTGGGAAGGACTCTGCCTGAATGTAAACCCAGACAAATCCAGCCACTGGAATAATTCAGGCCTCCAACCCCATTTACTGTGCGTGTGACATGTTCACTTCTTTGCAGTAAAAAGTTGTGGTGAGTGTTGCAGTCCCTGCCTCTCTCTCGCCCACACCTGTCTGGGATCTTGGTGGGAAGCGGGAAGAGGGGCTCTGTTCTCTTCCCACGATCGGCCTCAGCTTCCAGCTCCACTCCTGAGCTGGGACCTGCAGCCAGTCCCTCCTCGAGCCCTTTCGGTACAAGTGCCCAGAGGGGAGGCCACCCTCTGCCCCACAGCCGGGCACAGGAACCCCAGCTCCTAGGAAGAGGCCTAACCCTGGTGACTGGCCGGGGAGCTCCTGCAGCTCTGACTCGTACCTCCTGGGGCCCGGCGTGGATCACCAGATGGGGGAGCTTGCCCTGCATCCTGCCCAGCGTGGTCACCACGCAGCTATGGCCAGAGAGCAGCAGACTTCTCCCACCCCGGGTGCTTCTGTGTTTCCACAGTGCCCCCTCTCCAGAAGTGAAGGCCACGCTGCAAAGAGGGCAGGGAGACCCTGGGCCCCAGCGTTTCCCTGAGCCCTGTGAGTAGCAGGCCTTCCCAACCACATTAACTCACCAAGCTTTCAGTTCCGAGTCCACTGCCGGAGCCAGCCTTGCTCTCCTGCCCTCTTCCCTGCCCTTCTACCTTCCACTTCTCAGTTCGCAGTTAAAGGGGAGAAAACGGTGGGAACCCCGAAAACAGCTCAGCTTCCAACTCCAGGCAGTGAGTCCTGGAGATCCACCGAGTGGGGCGCGCCACCGTTAAGGTCGCATCTGGCCCAAGGAAGGCGGCGAGCTCACAGGAAGGACTGACTGGAGTAAGAACACAGTGGATTTCCACCTGCGCCCGCCTGCTTCCTCATACCTGATCCCGGGAGCCCTGCGCAGCGATGGAGTTGCTAATGGGCCCATTTTACATACAAGAAGACCGAGGCCCAGCGGGGCAGCTTGACAGAGCCGAGCCTTGAACCGGCTGTCTGGCTTGCCAGCACCCCCAAGCTTGCGGACTGGCCTCTCCGCGGAGTGTCCACCTGGCTCCAGTCGCCTCTCTGCCCCTGCCCTGGGGCTTCTCCGAGCTCCTCTTTCTCTCCTCCTGCCTGGGGGTCTCGGGATGAAAGGAGCCGAGGCCAGCGGCCTCTCCTGCGCACAGAAGCACAGGCGACACACCGGCCTTCCCGCCTGCCCTGCCCTCGCGGGGGACCTTGAGAAAGGCCCGCCCCTCTCAGGCCTCAATTTCCTCAAATAGTGAGGGTTAGTCTGGCGATTCCTGTGGTTCCTTGGACTGTGCTCTTCGTTTTCTAACTCCCAAAGCCCTAACTTGGCTTCTAGATTCTTCTTCACCCAGGGATCCGGCTTGGCTATCACACAGCGAGGCCGCGCTGGGCACATCGGGTCCGCTCGGTATCTTTCCGTTCGCTGCCGAGAGCCGGATTAGGTCCAGGAGTTCCCGCCGTGGCGCAGGACCGGGTTGGCCGCTAAAGCCTCCCTGACGCCCGCGTCCGGACCCTCGCGGCTCCGCCAGGCCCCGTCCGCCTCCCGCACCGCCTCCCTGGCGCAGTCTCCTGAGAACAGGTTAAATCAGTTTCGGATGCTGCTTCCGCGCTCCCACCGTTCGTCCTTCAGAGCCACGGGAGGGGCGAACGAGTCATTTTGCGTAATTGAGGTCTTTCTAAACGCTTCTTTTCCTCTGCCCCAGGCACCCACCCAGCTCCTCTTCTCTCCGATCGCAGACCGACTGGAGGGGGAAGGTCTGCAGGCCCCAGGCCTCCGAGCTCAGGGAGGCGTCTGGAAGCTGCTGGCCCACCGTGCAGGCGAGCGCCCCTGCTCCCAGCTTCAGCGCTGCAGGAAGCGCTGCGGTCTAGATCACCGCCTGCTCCCCATTTTGGAGGAATCGGGACCCCCTTAGGTTCGGGACTATTTCCAAAACTCTAGGGCCACATAGCTCTCCCCGACCCCGCCTGGAGTTCCAGTCTCAATGGTCACGCCCAGGAGACGCCCAGGCCGCCCCTCAACTAGACCACTAGGAACAAAGCACAGGGGCCTGGTGCTCAAGGGCCAGACCACAGCCAGCGCACCCCTGCAACCTGCTCAGGGCCAAGCAATTCGGGGTCCCAAGGCCTGCAGCCTCGCTTCGCAGCGCTGGAACCTACAGACCCAGTTTAATGTTTGCAGGAGCATATACACGCCACTTTCCAGTTTTTAGCCGCTTTCCTGGAAAGCCCCAAACAACAAGTGGCTAGCAATTAGCCCCTTTCTCCAGGCCTCAATTTCTGGCTCACTTGAAATCATTTAATCTTCTGATCATGTCTTTGTAATTTGTATTTCCAGTGGGGTGGGAGGGGGACAGGAGAGAAGGCTTATGTCCTGTCTGGGCTCCACACCTGCTTTGCAGTATGTGGATTAAGAAACGGTTCACCCGAGCAAACCAGTTACCATCCCTCCTCCCAGGGTTGGAAGGAGACTCGGCTCTTATGAAACCCAATTCTCCTTTAATTTTCACTGAAAACTTCAGTAGGGGAGGAATCATCTCTACGTCGCTGGAGGGCCGACAAATAGCGTCCACTGGGCCGCGGCTCCCAACGGGACGGGCAGGAGCAGGGAGGGGGGCCCCCTCGGTTGATCGGGCTGGGAAAGGAAAAGAACTTTCCCTTCTAAGAGCTCTGGGCTGTGGCAGCCAGGTCACAGGCTCCTGCTCCAGGGAGGAAAGTGCCCGCCTGGCCGCACAGCGCAGCTGGAAGGCTCCGGCGAGGACAGGCCACCGCTTCTGGCCCCCTCAGCTCCCTGTCCAGTGGCGCTCAGCTCCCCAGCCAGCACACTGCCGAGCTGGAGGCCACGCGGGGGCCGGGCCCCAGGAGCTCCAGCCGGGAGGTGGTGTACAGGGCAGTTTATGGCCCAGAGACGATTACAAATAACGGGCTTAGGGGCGCCCACCGCAAAGAGGGCGAGTTTACTGACTTTAGGTCGATTGCCTGGCCTGGAGCTGCCTTAAGGGAGGTGCCCTGGGCTGGAGAGACACCTGTCGCGGCTCTGCAGCGACCCTCCCCGTGCCCTGTGGCTAAAGTTGTCTCCCTAGTCGTGCACCGGCTTCTGATGCTCCAGAGGCTGCCACAGCTCTAGTGGCTCCTCGGCCTTCAGGTTGGGGGGTACCCATCAGGTGCTGGAGCAGAGGGTCTCAGACAAGCGCCCTAGTCCCTTCCGCCAGGCCGCGGCCAACGTGGCTGGGGACAGAGACATCGGAAGGTGGTCGGTTCAGAACCACCGGGACACCAAAAGGGATGCTGTGGTGATCGGGCCTCCTCCAGCCCTGCTGCTCAGAGGTGCCCGCCTGGCAGCTACTGTCACACACGGGCCGTGTCCTGGCAGGGAATGCCCACCCAGTGCGCCACCACTTCTGACCGCTGAGAGCCTGCTGGGCCTGTGGGTCCTGGCGACCCTTGCCCACTATGGCACCTGCTCCTCCGGGATTATAATCCAATCTAGAAAAGAAGACTATGCTCAGGCCCGCCTGCCATTTCCGAATTAACCGCCTCCCTTTCTCTCCTGCCCCATCTCGGCTCACCTGTTTGAGGTGGGTCTCTCCCACCCGGACCTCCAGAGCCCCAGCCCCAAGAACGGCGAGCAGAGAAGAGGCCACCTGAGAGGCCTGAGTCTGAGGCCCAAGTCCCTGCAAGTGTTCTGCTGGGAGCTGGGGCCTGCAGGACCTGGGCCTCCTGGTGTGCTCCACTCTCTCCCAGGGACCAGCAAGCACCCTCAACCTCCGGCCCGGGTGCGCTGTGCTTCCCCTCCACGGAAAGAAAGTAAGAAGGAAAAGAATAAAAGGGGGAGTTAAAGAAATGAAGAAAGGAAGGAAGGAAAGAAGAAAGACCAGATTGGACTAGTACGCTCATGGAACGATCCCTGGTTCGCCCCCCCACCCCCCAGCCCTGGGCCAGAAGATGGCCTGGTGTCTCTGGCACCAGGGCCCTGGCCCCTCTCTCCAGGAGGAGCCGATGTTCCCGGAGCGACCTCCCCAAGATGTTTTGGCACCAGCTGGAAGGCTCAGGCAGCCCCTCCGGGCCAGCTCTGGCTCCCCGCCTGGGCCCCCTAGCGCTCCCGGCCGCCCACCTGCGGCCTCACCTTCGGGAAAGACAGCGCGCATCTTCAGGTAGCTCGTGGTGAGTCGGATGATGGACGCCTTGTCCAGCTGCGAGGTGATGGCCGAGGGCAGCGGGAGCAGCTTGGCCAGCTCATAAAACTCGCCATTTTCCTTCTCCCTCCTGGTCTTGGCCGCATTCTTCGACTTCTCCTTCATCGCGCCTCGGCTCCGGGCATATTAGACCCGGCCGTGCTCCAGGCCCGCGGAGCTCCGCTCTGGCTGCAGCGGCGGCGATGGGGAAGGGGGCCCCGCAGACCAGGTGAGCGTGGGGCGCCGGCTGCGGGCAGGTGCGTGAGGCCGACCAGGGGCACCAAGGCGCCTTTCTGCAGCCGTGGGCGGGGAGCTGGGCGCAACACGGGGACACCGCCCCGCGCTCCTCCCGCCACCGCCCCGGGCGCAGCCTCCTCCGGGCCGGACTGTCCCGCGGCGACCCAAGCCCTGGCTTCCCGCTCGCTTCGGCTCGCTCTTCCTTCCTCTCTCTTGTCTCCCCTGCCTCGGCTTTCCTTAGGGGTGGAGAGTGGCCGGCGAGGAGGCGGCGGTGCTGTTTAGTCCTTGGCCGGGTGTTCGTACCCGCTGCCGTGAGGCCCCTCCAGGCTGGAGGACGGCACGGGCGGCTGCGGCTGCGGAGCCATGGAGCGGGAGGTGAGCGGACGCGGCTGGGGCCCGGCCCGGGTGCGCTCTCCTGCCCTCCCTGGCGGTTCCCTGTGCCTGGTGATGCGGCGCCCAGAGCCCGCGATCTGTCGCGAGGCGCAGAAGCTCAGCGGTCCACGTGCAACCGAGCCGCGTTTGTTTATGGCGGACCCGCCTTCGGGCGGAGCACTCGGCCGCCGCGGCCCGGGGAGGAGGGGGGGCAGGAAGGGGGGGAGGGACCGCGGCGGGGGCGGGGGCGGGCAACCTCGCCTACCGACCCCACCGCGGCCCCGGAGTCACAGGCGCGCCTCCCTGTCGCTGCCTCCAGGGACTCTCCCGGGCGAGACCCGCGCGCTCCCGGCCTGGAGGAAATCGCGGTGAGTGCACAGGGCGCGCGGCGGGGACCGACTCTGGCGAGCGGGTCGCGGGACCTGGGCGCTAGGAGGAGCGGCGGGGAGGGGCGGAGGAGGAAGCGAGGGAGGAAGCGGTACGGAGACCTCGTCTGTGGCTCCGGCGCAGGTACTGCGCGGGCGCTGCCTGAGTGCCCTGCGGAGGAGGACTGAGTCCTCCGAGCCCGCGCGGGCCCCGAGCCCTCGCTCTCCCCAGTTTGCAGGTCCGAGAGCCGAAAGTGGTGGCGGTGGGGAGGCCAGAGGGGAAGGACCACCCCCTCCCCAGGAAGCGGCGCGAGTAGGGCTCGGAAGTGACCCTTATGCTCTTTCTCTCCTGTAAACAAGAGAGCGAAAGGAGATTGGCGCCTTCCCCGGAGGGGTTGGAGGCCGCGGGGACGCGCGGATCGGACGGAGAGAGGGGCGGGGAGCCGAACCTACCGGTGAGGCCTTGCCCTGGGCAGCGGCGGGTACAGGGCCCAATAGTACCCGCCCCTGCAGCCCGATCCAGTGCGGCAGGAATTTCAAGGAAGCCGGCTGGGGCGGGTGCTTCAGGGCGAGGAGCACCGAGCGAGGATCATCGGACAAGCGTTCGTGGTGGCCAGGGTGATGGGGGCAGGAAGCAGCTGGCGCAGGGAGGCGCAGTCGGAGACTGCGGCCGGCCGTAGGGCGTCCCGGCGCCTTCCCTCAGGGCCACACTGGACCTCGAGTCCTCTTGTGTACCCCACCTCACTGTCGGTGACTGCAACCCCGGAGGATCCTCCTAGCTACCCCGGCCACGAGGTAGCCCCCATCCCTTCCCTTCTAGAAGCCCGAACCCTCCGGACGCGGTGTGGACGCATGCACTGGGAGGACCCCAGCTTCCTGGCGCGCGGGGTCAGAGGGCAGCCGCAGTGGACGCAGGGCGCGGGGTCCTGGGGTCCCTCGGACGTGTGCCGAGGCTGTAGGCTGTGGGGGCCTGATCTGGAGGTCAGCTCGGGAGGGGAGACGCCGGAGCCTTGGGGCCCAGCGCTAGGATCTCCGTTCTAGGTGCCTTCTCTCTCCCCCGGCCCGGGAGGAGCCTGCGGCTCCGCGCGCTCACTGCCATTACAATGACTTGGTGCTCGCCTCCCTCCCCCGCGTCTGGAGGGCAGGGCCTACGGCGACCTCGTCGGCAGCAGGCGCTCCTGACCCCTTTCCAGGGACCTCTTTGAAGGTCAGAAGTTCGATGGCGTTGGAGGCGTCGTAGTTCCCTCTGTGGGCAGGACACCGTGCGCAGACCCGGGCTCGGCCTCACCTGCCCCGGCGCCCTGCGGAACCCACAGCCGTGGCCTTGCTCGAAACCACCGAGCCGCGCGAGCTTCGGAGTTGGTGCCTCCCCACCAAATGCCGGGCGCATGTAGGAACCAGCGCTTTTCCTTGGGGTTTCGGATCCAGGAGCGCTTTCCTTTTTCCAGCCGTGAGCACAGAGGGTCGGGGGTGGGGCGCGCGAGCGGCTCGGGTACGTAGTGGCCAAACGCAAGGCTCCCGGCCCGCTTCCCCGCCCGGAGTCCCGCACCCCGCTGCGGGGACAGCCGTGGTCTCCCGGCTTCCGGGAGAAGGAGCTCCAGGGGGGAAGGGATTGCCGGCTGGGCCCCGCCGCCGCTTGCTCAGGCCGCCCCCGTGTGCGCTCCGGGGCACCTTCCTGGCTTCGGGAGGATTTAAGGCTTCCCTCACCCCCACGATTTCCGATCCTCAATTATGGACCCGGGAGAATTCCTCCTGGGCTTGAAAGGGATTACCCAGATCGCAGAAACATGGTTAAGTGCAAGTGGGAGAAACTCGACAAGTAACAGGAACAGAAACGTTCCTTAAACCAAAGTTCCCGGATTTCACGGGAAATTGTACTTGAGATCTCGATACCCGGTCTTCAGCAGTGGCAGCCGCTGTTGCATCTGCGAGACATGTTCGAATCGCGTGGTGTGAGACGTAGCATAACGGAGCGTTGGAAGATTCGCAGATGTTTGGCTGTGGGGCATTTTAGGGCCCACAGTGTGCTCCAGCAAATGCCCAAGTGGGCCTTTTATCACCTTTCCCCCAACACATTCATTCAACACACACACACAGCGCGCGGAGATGGGCCTGGGCTCCCGCACAGCACCACCGAAAGAACACAAAGTACTTCGGCGCGAACTTCGAGGTTTCCCCAGTTGGGAAGAATAGTGATGTCTGCGTGGAATGGCGAAGGAAGAACCCCTGAGCTTGGATGGGGTCATCCTAGGGCTCTCCCTGCCGAAGGGAAAGCCTGAGGCCCTTAGGACACCCACAGGAGAGAAGCTCTGTGTAAATTGGAAAAAGCACTACACGCGTGCTAATTGGAGTGATCAGAAGCCGTTGGCCGCCGGTTGGGACACCTACTGCGTAGTCCTTGCTCCAGGCTCCTGGTGCAGGGAGTACCTCCTAGTCTATACTTTGAGTCGAAAGTCGAGCGCTTCGCGCAGAGCACGGAGACGGGCCCGCAGGGGAGAAGCATAGGGCAACGAAAGACTTCTCAGCCCCGGACATCACCCAGAAACGGCGGTTCTCCTACTGGCCCGGAAGGAGTTGGCAGAATCTAGAATGACGAGAGGCCGGGGGCAGGAAGAGGGCAGGTGGAAAGAGGGGTCGGACACCGTGAGTCCAATAAGCTTTTGCCGCGCTTGCGGGACACCACCAGCCCCAGTCTGTCCTGCTTCCCAGCGCCTAGGCGCACTCCGAGGCGCACGAGCAAGCTTCCGCATACCCCCCACCTCTTAGAAATCTTCCATTAGGAAACTGATCTGGAAGAAATTGAGGCCCTAAGAGGAAAGGGGCGGGGCCCGGCCGCCCCACATCTGCTTGGATTTTCCGCTTCAGATGTTCCGCAACTGTTTTTCCCCGGGGCCGCCCCCGGCGCCTACCTGAGGCCCATCCTCCGCGGAAACCGACTTTTGCGTGAGATCAAGGGGAAAACGCGCAGATGTTCCACTAGGGATGGGCTGCTGCGGTGCAGAAGGGAATCAGAGACTTTGTCCCTAAGGAGGTGGGGAGGGGAGGACTTCTCCCAGGCCTAGCACTAGATTTGGGGGAAGGGGTTGGAACCTCTGAAGTGGTGTTTAAGGAGAACTTCAACCGCCCAAACAAGCCGAGACAGCAGGAAACCCAGGACTATGGACATGTGAACCTATTCGATTTATAAACTCTTGTCTACACAGGCAATTAGCATGATGTGGTTACTTCAGAAAATCCCGCTTGGGTTCAGTATCACAAATGTGAGTATTTCAAGGCTGGGAGGCGCGTTTGGTCTGAGCTATCTGAAAAGGTACTTCGATTTTTCACTCCTTTCCTTCTGTAAGACCAGTGGAGATATCATCAACTTTTTCTGGGGTCATTGCTACTCCCAGAAAGGCTCGGACAACAGTTAACAATATAACTACCCACTGTATAAAAGTAATTACAGATATCCAGAGCCATTTCGTAATGATTCGTTCCTTGAGAGGTCGAGACAGTAACTCGCTCTGCTCACACGTTCCTAAGTAGTAGAGGGAGAGAAGTTTATTTCTTTTCGTTTTGTTTTGCTTTTAATAAGTTATTTCACTGGAAGTTACCCCTTAGGAGAAAGTGTTTGCTTTTAGGTTGGTCGGCTTCTATCTGATTATTTGATTACATCACAGTAACTAGGGCAGATCCGCCCTCCTGCACAGGGTCCTGGGGTCCCTTGGTGCTTGTGTGTTCGGTCCTCGGCAGGGTGCCCCAAGTGGCTCTGCGGGGGGGGAGGTGGTGCAGGGAGGGGAGGGAAGGAGGCACCACCCAGTGGGGGATCATTCCCACCTCCCAGTCGCCTATCCCGGCCTGCTCGAGGCTGACTCTGCTCCCTGGGGTTCCGAAAAGAGCGCAGTCTTTCTCGGACTTGGTTGTCCGGGACGACTTCGGGTTCTGGGATTGCGGGCTTGAGGGGGCCCGCCGGCGCAGCGCCTCCTATCCGAGGGACAGAGTAGCTACCGCGTACTTCTCTCCCTCACTCAAGGCGATGCATTTAGGGATCAAAATCAGTGTCACCGGTAATTAATTATAGTGATTAGCACAGTCCCCAGCGAGGGCCACAGGGAGCCACTGAAGCCGCGCCAGGTTTGGGGAAACGGCCACACGTTTCTTCTAATTTTACCTGGGGGGCGGGGGGCGGTGGTGAGAGGGCCGCCCTTTCCTCTGCACTCCTTCGCTGTCTCCCAGCCCCGCTTTCTCCTCCGTCTCTGAGAAAGTGCCCGGGACTTTGGCACCCCTCCCCGTTGCACACACATCCAGCGTCCTCCGGAGAGAGCGAGGATTCTATTCTGTTGGAGCGCACGCAGCGCCCGGCGCCCAGGAGCGGCGCTCAGGGACCGGCCAGGGATCCGGGCCGAAGGAGAGGGGAGCCGAGTGTCCTGCGCCGACCTCCTGCGCCCTTTCTACGACCCGGCGGCACGAAGCCTCCGCAGCCCGCTCCCAGAGTGCTCTCGCTCCGGCTTAACAGAAACGTCGCCTCAAAGTCCTGGTTCGGGGAGAGGCAGCCCATCCGCTCCCCGGCAGAACCTCGCTTTTCGCCTCCAGCGAGCCCGCGGTCGTGTCTGGAAACCCTTGAGCTGGAGGAGTCTTTGCAGTCTGGTGTGCGCTGAAATTCCTCAGTGGTTATATCAATGACATGCCGCCTTGAAATCCGAAAACTAATTAGTTCATTAACGACGGCGCTGAAACCGCCTTTCAAAAAACATCAACCAAAACTTTTCCTTAAAAAAAAAATCTACCCACCAGAGACATATTTCTGCACATCAAAGAAAGCACAAACATGATAGGCTTAATTTTCTTTTTCTAGCAGGTAATAATAGTAACAGCCAACCCTTAATGTAAGGCTGACTATAATATAGGGCTATTACAATGCTTTAAAGACACAAACTCGTTTTATTTAATTAATATAATTATTAATATAATGTTCGCAAAGCAAAGCGAACATTGAGGGAAACCTCCCTAATCTAAACAAA